AGACTTGGAATATGGAAGAATATTTTCTCCACATTTCCCCGGGCTTTTACAGAAACAGTACTTTGCTGCCATTTGCAAAAGCCATAAAAGCAAAGAAAACACTGCTCTGTTCTTATGCCACAGAACTCAGCAGAAAGGAAGATATAAGTGTTCATAAATAATAGCTGGCAATTAAGCCAAGTCAAAATTTGTGGATCCCTAATTGTAACCACTATGAACATCCTTACATGAAGGTATCAAAAATCCTATCCATACATTTCTCCAATAATTTGTTGCAAATTATATGAAAGGGTTGCTTTTAGATAATTCTTTCTAGATAAATAAAAGTGCCTTAGTGGAAACTAGCTCTGGATCCCAATTCTCAGTAACAGAGAGTACATTTTAAATTTAAAATAATTCTTGTATCACTTTTCTGTAGTATGTTTGAGGCAGATTCGGGTGGGTAGTGGTGTTGGTCTGAAGCAGCAGACCTTGAGTCCAGTGGCACCTTTAAGACCAACAAAACTTTTGTGTGCAAGCACACTTCTTTAGATGCAGTGAAACAGAATTTTCTCAACCATTGCATATAGGAAGAGAGGGTGGAAGTGGGGGTTTAGTTGCAAGGGCCAATTAGAGTCAAGACAGAGACAGAAACAAAAATGGAAATAACCAGTCCATACATATAGGTAGAGTATAAGCAGTAAATTATCATATAGCATAATGAAGATGTTTAACAGATTCAAGGATCAAACTGGGAAATAAATACATCAAAATTGGAGAGTGATGTATCCTTAATTGTGGAATGCTGAGAGTATGTTCAAGGCAGTTATACATCTAGCAATCCATCACACATGCAGGTAAGCACTGAAAGCCAACCAACTGCACAGACAAAAATGGGACTATATGTGCAAATCCAATCCTGGGCACTTTGGCACAAAAGCTGAAAGGTGAACATGAACAGGATTCTTGAAACATCTATTATCTAGACGGTTCTCCTAGCATGGCACTAGTCATAACATCTTTCTGCATGCATGCCATGAGGCTGATGATTTTGCCATAAGGAAAAAAATTCCAATATTTTATCCAAAAATAATGATAAATTACTAAAGAACCAAAATTTAAGACAGAATCACTCACCATTATATTCCAAAATTTGTGGAAAAAAATTTCTACACTAAATTATAAAATATAATTCAATGGGATAACTATTCTCAAGTCCTTCCCCACCCCAAAATATAATTCTGATATGTGAAAGCAATAATGAGAGGAAGCCACCTGAGAAGTCAGATAATACAGCATATCTGATACTGCCATTTTTCCTTTCCAGTGCTTTTTTGCTGCATTACAAAACCCTTGACTAAATGATGCTTGCAGTTCCAAGTACAAGGCATAATCCAGCTAAAATTTAGCATTTTTCAGTCTACTGATTTCAGTGGGAGACTAATATGTATGCATGAATATCTGAGTTTGCAAGAATGGAAAATGTGTAACTTTTACTGAATCATGCCCTAGTATTTTTCCAACATGGGGTGGAAGCTACCCTTTCTGATCACAGTCTGATAGTATTAGTTGTGTGTTAAACTGCAAACTCCAGATTTCTTGGATTCTTTGCATTATAATTTCTAACCATCAAGTTTATCAATCAACACTTTTATGCCCACCCATTATTTTTTCATGTTATGAACTTTTGCTAAAAATATGAGATAACAGGCTGTCTTCCACACAGACGGACATGAATTAGTTGGCTCTCAGTGTTAGGGGGAGAAGGTTATTATGTGCCCTTTATATATTTCCCATATATTGCTCACAATAGGAAAGGCACAATAATTTAACATTTTTTCCGAGATACAGATACTGCTTTTCCAGTATTCAAAAGAAAATATACTGATGATGGGGAATGCAATCACATTTCTTTGAAATGTTACCTATGACACTGCTAATAAACAATGCAATTTCCCTACCAGAATCAACAGTGTTGCATATACAATAAGAACTTGCACAAGAGCTGTAATAGTCTAGTTTAAAGGTCTGGAACACTGGTGCAGTCACCTGCCTTAAGACACAATGCACTGCTGGCAACTTTTACCCAGCATATCTGAACAGGAAATAACCCTAATATCCAGGTCAGTGTGGTGCGGTGGCCTGACAGTTATGCAGTTTACTTGCTACCCATATGTAGTGTAGCTGTAGGCAGTAAAAATCCGGACCATAAACACTGTCAGAGATTACTGTGGTACAGCCTGATCCTGTGTACCACAGTAATCTCTGACAGCGTTTATGGTCCAGATCTTGACCAGAAACATGCTGTGGTCAAGTAGCTAAGGTTAAAGCTGAACTGAGTTAAGACTGAAGTGATACTGGTCAGTAATACAGAAGCTTTGGAGGGAACTCTATTGTCCATTCTGAATGGTGTGGTGCTTAAGTTTACAAAGTCAGATAAGACCTTTGGAATTCCATTAGATTCCCATTTGTTGCTGGAGAATCAGGTTGATGCAGTTGCAAGAAGTGATTTTTTAAAAAAACAACAAAATTTTGCACAGAAAACAGCTTCACACCTATACTTGCCAAACTGGTCATGCTAATCCATGTTTTCATCATTTCAAGATTGTGTTACTGTAACATGCTCTATGTAGGGTTGCCCTTGAAGGCAATACAAAAGCTTTAATTTATAAAGACCCCTTCCTAACTCAAGATATGAACTTATCACCCACTTCTGCATCATCTACACTGACTGCTCATTTGCTTGCAAATTAAATGCAAAGTACTGGCATATAGTGCACTATAGCCTAGAACTCCTACAGGCCCGTAGCCAGGACTTTTTTCGTCGGGGGGGGGCGACCTGAATTTCTTAGGGGCAGTTAATCAAATCATTTTAATTAAATTACCTTTACACACAAATGGCTAATCAGGAAGGCGTGGGCTGCTGCCTGCTGGAGACCCTAGGGTCCATTGATTCCTCTGCCCTTTTGACTCTGCCTACCGGAGACCCCCTCCCAGATTCCAGCAGCATCTCCCCCACTGGAGCAAAGGATACACCAATCTAATCGTCTCATCTCCAGCAGGCAGGCAAGCAAGCAGCTAGCTCTCTATAAGCAGGCTGCTGTGCTAATCAGGAAGGCACAGGCTGCTGCCTTTCTGGAGTGTGCCTGCACCAGGAAGAAGTCATGTGACCCACCCATGGTAGGAGACCCTTATCTTTGCATGTAGGCACAAAAGGCTGTGGGGGACTGCCTCATTCTTCTGCAGAGACTCTGGTGCATATTTGGAAGGGTCTGGTTTGTTTCACCCTCCTACATTTCTCCAAGGCAGACTTTTGGAACCCACAGATTTTGGCTGGCAGGTAGAGAGCTGGCCACTGGCTCACCCACTGGCCAGACACCTGTCCAGGCAGCACGACTTAATAAATACTTAAAAATGCTTTCTGGCAGAAGGACTTGTGGGGTGTGGCTTTCAATTTCTCTCACAACTTTAATGTCAGTAGCTCACAAAGTAGAATTTTTGCTCACAAGACTCCACAGCGTAGAGGGCGCATTGGTCTGGAGGCAAACTGCTGCTTACCTATGCTGCAGCAGACTAAACACTGATTCCTCTCTAACAGGGTTAAATGGGCAGTAGCAATTGCGTGCCCATGTGTGTATAATGGATTGAATCCAAAGAGCAGAGTTCCCCTCACCAAGCACATGGAAGCTTATACCTTGAATAAAATTCTGTTGGAAGAAGAAGAGATGGGATTTATACCAGCTTCTCTGGATTTAGTTCTTCTGGTCCAACTTTTCTGGCCAATTCTCCATTATTGGTTTGAGTCGAATTGGTCATCTGATTGTTCTATGACTACATGGTATTTTATGATATTTATATGTAAATTGTTATTTTAAAAATGTTAAGTGTATTATTTAACTGCTGTACACCGCAGGCCATCTGGGGAGGGCGGTATATAAATCTAATAAAATAAATAAATAAATGTCCCACTGTAGCTACAGGCCCAAACTCCTACTTGGAAAACTGTTTTTCTTGGTATGCACTTACAGTTCCAGCAGCACTGTAAAGCCCTACTGTTCAAAAAGGCTTTTGAGGGCAACTGAAACAAATTAAAATAAACTTTATGCAGCTGAGTGCACACAAAGAGTTTTGGGGCTGCTGTCTGCAATTATGTTTTATGTTTGTGCAGTGTGGCTCAAACCTGCATTTGTAAGGTCCTCTGAGCCACCATCGGGTGGAGGGAAAGCAAGTCATAAATATTTCAGTAAGTATAAACAAACCAATTTAGTAGGACTTCCTTTTCAAGTATGTATAGGATTGAATTGTGACTAAAACTGCAAACCAACTCCCATTTACTATAACAAGAAGCAGGGCCACTACTGCACAATTTGTATTCCAGGTGCCAAGAACTTTGGGTAGCTAGATGTCAACCAGACTATTCCGTTTAGTACAGGACGAAGCCTGCAGTTCCACATCTACTTAGATTAGCATAAACTCTACTGTAACTACTTGTGGGACTGCAGCCCAAACGTTATTGTAATTGCTGAGTCTTGCCCAATTCCTTACTAAAAGCACACCAGAACGTTGGCAAGTTTATTTCTCTAGTCTTGATAATCAAAGCAGGAAGCAGGCAGGCACACGCAATATGCCAAGGATAACTACAAACACACAGGAGAAGCACACGTTTGAAATGAAACAGCCTGCAATTCTATGCACGGTTCCGGGGAATAAACCTCAAGCACAAGGGAGACTTCTGAGCAAGCACACTAGGGGACTACGTAAAGGGCTAGGACCTTTCAACATGGGAACTAGTCCTGCCGGGAAAGGTGCTCTTTCAGCGCCCTGGACTCACGCCAACAACCCACGTGGCTAGGCGAAGAAGACCAGGTACCCTCGCGCACCTCCCCCTATACCTGCTCCAGGGGCGGGGCGGGGCTGCGGGCACGGCTAAGAGCGAGACGAGGCACTCCCCTCAGGCCTTCCCTAACGCCTGACCCAGGACAGGAGGCAGGGAGAGGGGACCCGTCCCCCATTCTCCTCACCGGGCCCGTAGAACTTGCTGCCTTTGGTCACGTCGAAGACTTTGCCGTTGACGGCCAGGAGGATGCGCGGCGTGCGCGAGCCGTCATACTCGCGCAGCTGCTCCAGCGTGAAGTCCCCCCGCTTCATACGGGGCAAGGAAGAGGCCTGGCTCTGCTGCGCCGCGCCCCCCGCTTCGCTCCGCTTGCTCCAGCGCCTATAGAGCTGATAGGCCGCCAATACGACGAGCGCCAACAGCGTCACGTTCAACAGCATGCCGCCTCCCCCGAGCCAGCCGCCGGCTGTGGCGGCAGCTTCCGTCTCCTCCGGGCTGCCGCTACCACCTCCTCCTCCTCCTCCTCCTTGCTCAGTCCTTAGCTTCCCATCCCCATCGTCCGCCATCACTGCCCAGCCAGCGCCTGCCTGAAAGGAACCGCTCCGCCCCACACGGGCTGGAAGGGGGGGGGGAGGAAAGGAGAGGCGGGGCGCATTCTGTCTCCTCCTCACTCAACCCCGATTGGCCACAGGTAAGGACACGTCATTCGTGCCAGCTCGCGCACAGCCGACCCAACGAGAAACAAGCGCACGCGGCTGTGCAACGGCCGCCTTTTACCTTAGAGGGCAATCTTGTGGGAGGGGGAGAAACGAGGCGCGCGCACCTGCTTCTTCCACCCCCTCCGTTCTCGGCAAGTTCTTCGCGCTAGTAGCCATCGAGGAATCCTACACGCGCGCTCTGTCTCAGAAGATGCTGAAATCGGCGCGAGCCGATGGCCCTGTGGGCTGGAATGCTTGGAGAGTTTTGTGCGGACTTTGCTGTTGTAGTAGTTTAACTTTTCTTCATCGCAATAAACTCTGAAAGCAAAATGTTGCTCGTCTAAGAGGCTTCAATTTTTTCAAGGCGTTTTGAAGCCCCTTCCGATTGAGGAAAATGTACCAGTGACTGAAACACAGCTGGACATGAAAGAGGCCTTTCCTACTTGTCAGCTGGCTTTAATATTTCTTAACAGCTGATTTTTTTTGCTGCATGTATATTTATTAATGTTTTGTTTTATTTTAAAATATTTTTCACACATTGTTAACTGCTACTGGATTTAAAATATTTTTCACACATTGTTAACTGTTGTTAACTGCTACTGGCACTGGTTTTCTGGTCCAGGGCAGGATAGAAACAAATAAATACAGCTGCTCTTTTTTGGAGTCCCCCAAACGAACAGAAGAGGAACAAGTGTAACATCACCTTAAAACCAGAACAAAAACGAGTGTCTCCTCTGACGTTCATTTACTGGCTACTGTGGACAAACACCACAAGGAATGACTAAATGCCATAAACTCCAAAGGTATTCTGTTAATATTGGGCTCTTCTGCACTCACGTTTTCATCATCTGTGTTTCTCTATTGCTAAGGTTGTGATAAATGTGCAGCTTATTGGCCAAAGGGTATGGTTACCAACCTCCAGGTGGTGGCTGGAGATCTGAGATTACAACTGATCTCTGGGCAGCACAGATCAGTTCACCTGGAAAAAAATGGCACCTTTGGAAGGTGGACCTTCCAATATACCCAGGTGAAGTATATGCCCCACCCTCTTCAGGCTCCACCCCCGAAATGTCCTGGTAGTTCCCTACCCTGAGCTGGCCCTACTAAAGGGTCATCCCACTGAATCAGTTCCAGGATTCATGGCTAACTGTTAATTCATAGTACTCCTAAATGGATGTCACAGATTTGAAAAAAGTGTGTATGACAAATGCACATGTGATAACATACATGCACCACATGACACTTTTTCTGCAAGGAAGTAATATCTAGGAATGGAAGACAGTTGTAAATTACCCATTGCACAGCAGCAGGATTTGCAATGTATGCTATGGTGTTTACTCTGGTGAAGAGAAAATGTACAGTTTCCACTGCAGTGAAGATGAATCAAGGAGCTGATTGGCTGCAGCTCCTTTGTATGTGTCTAGTGCATGTTTATAGACATGCATCTTGCCTCATGGTTCCTGCAGTAAACATCACTGTATCCGTGGCAGATATGACAGCGTTGTAACAGATAAATACATGTAACTGATAGCTGTGAGTAATGGGTACATTTCTGCTTTACAGCACATCTGAAAATTCAGAAATATCTGAAAAAGGATTCCCCATCCTGTGAAAACAGTCCTTCAGACTGCATATGTCATACTGGCTAGTCAAAGAACCCCAACCTTAATGGGAACAGGTAGGAGACTAATATGAGCAGTATCCCCCTGCCCCATCATACATTGTGAAAAAACTGGATACCTAACAGTGTTATTGTGAAGAAGAAAACAGAGAAGAAAATGATGTAAACCACTTTGGTCCTCATTGGGGAGAAAGGTCAGGGTTGTAAATGAACTGAATAAATATATCTAGATCCCAAATAGAGATTTTACAGATATGCTTTTGTTTACATAGGTGAATCCTTATTTACATAAGTGAATCCTTAATTAAGGATCATCCTTAATTGACTTAGGTGCTCTATACAATAGAAATTTTCATGAAAACAAATATTTGTTAGAAGGTGGACAGCCACAGAATTACAAAAGACAAAAGTCTACTCCTCATATGCAGAGATATATCATTATTGTGAAGAGCTAATAGTTGCTGAATTAAGGCGCAGTAGTGTGATGTGTGGGTTCTGGTAGTCACACACATTTCTGTTGCCACATCTAGGGCAAGCTCTGGGATGGGAAATACCTGGAGATTTTGGGGGTGGAGCCTGGGAAGGGTGGGGTTTAGGGAGGGGAGGGACTTCAGCAGAATATAATACCATAGAGTCCACACACCAAAGCAGAAATTGTCTCCAGAGGAACTGATCTTGGTCTGTAATAGTGAGAGATTACCAGGTGCCACCTGAAGGCTGGCAGCCTCTGATAGATATAATTATTTATTATGAGGTCTAAGCATAGGAGAGAAACATCTGGTGACTGGGAAAGGGAAGTCAGTGGGTACCTAAATTTCATTGCGTTATGGGATCTTTAAAAGACTAGTCTCTCAGCATCTGGACTGAAAACAAGGTAATGTACTATTTTAGGGTTGTTCTGTTTTTGACCTATGTATGCCAATGTGATGCCCTGACCTGGATAGCCCAGACTAACCTGATCTTGTGAGATATCGGAAGCTCTAAGGAATAGCAGGATCATGATGCAGAGGCAGGCAATGGCAAACAACCTCTGAACATCTCTTGCCTTGAGAACCCCATGGTGTTGCCATAAGTCAGCTGTGACTTGATGGCAAATAAATAAATACGTAAATAAATAAATAAAAATGCCTATATGATATTGATGTGAATATATGTAATATGATTAATGAGAACATAAGTAGAGCCCTGCTGGTCCAGCACCCTGTCTCACACAATGGCCAACCAGTTCCTCTGGAGGGCCAACAACAGGGCGTAGAGGCCTCATGGCTCTGGGATTCAGAGGCTTAGTGCCTCTGAATGTGGAGGTTCCGCTCAGTCACCATGGCTAGTAGTCTTTGATAGACTTAGCCTGCATGAATATTAGAAGAGCCCTGCTGGATCAGATTAATGTGTGCACACAAATGTGTGTGTACATGTAAATTTAAATATATAAACTCCAGTTTCCAACATTCTATCCTACTTTCCCAATGTTCTGTCAAATTATTAGTTTACCCAGGGAACAGGACCCGGATCTAACTAGGCAGATAGGGCAACCATGGCTAGTAGTCTTTGATAGACTTAGCCTGCATGAATATTAGAAGAGCCCTGCTGGATCAGATTAATGTGTGCACACAAATGTGTGTGTACATGTAAATTTAAATATATAAACTCCAGTTTCCAACATTCTATCCTACTTTCCCAATGTTCTGTCAAATTATTAGTTTACCCAGGGAACAGGACCCGGATCTAACTAGGCAGATAGGGCAGGCAATGAGATTCAAGGGGTTACCATGCTCAGTCCTAACGTGTTTAACTACAGGAACTGTCATTCTCATGGTTATTAAGTCAGTGTAGGACAGGCTACAGTAGGTAGAACACACCTCCCTCGTCTGTAGTATGGAGAATGTGCCTTAAGCAGTACTGCTCGATTTGATAATAGTAATGTTGCAAGTCGCCCATTTTAAGAAATGTTGAGAGATATGTGAGTATGAGACGTCAATAAATGGTGAGCGGGAATATTGATCAGGATCAAGGAAAGGATTAGTGACTGAACCCTTCCCCTTCAAACCCTCATCAAAACATGATATGCCTTTATTTAGTAACTAAAGTAAATGGTAGTGTAAGCTTCACGGCAGAAAACAATAAAGCTCAACAATCGCTATACAGTTTAGGCTTGTAGTGAAAGAATCTGACGCACCTTGTAGATGTTTACATGGCATTCATTATTGTAGCATCTGACCAGCTCATCTGTATGAGCACTACTGCTGACTGGGACAAAAATTCATTGCTACCATGGACACTCCACACAATTGACAATATCCATGTGGCAACATGATTTAAAATATTATGACCCATGCAAGGAACAGAGCCACGTGGAAATATTTAGGGGGAGAGGTTTCCCATGTGGGAAGTATAATGTTTGACTTGGCATTTCCTAGCATATTTAAGATCAGAATAGTAAACTGTAACCTAAAGTGGGTTTATTTAAAAGTAAGTTCTGCTGAAATTAGGGGCATAACTTTCAATCAAATGTTTTTGGATATAAACTGAACATTAACAGAATTATGGATTTGACCTCACTGTTCTAGCCTCCTGATGAGTGTGCTAATCCATGCCATTTTAAAGCAGCCTATGCTAAGCCAAAGACAACCTTCTTTGAACTACAATTGAAGGAATTCCTCCTTTGACCCACCCAGACAGAGCAGGAGTTTTATTTAATATAGTACTTTATCAGTGAAAGCCATATTCTGCATATAAGTGGGAAGGAATGGGTGTAGCTCATCTGGATTTCCTTGTGTTTTGAGGTTTGGTTCTGAATTTCTAAACTCTGTTCCCATTTGAAATCAATTTGCAATGCATTTGGCAAAAATAATTATATAAACAAACGTAATGACTAACAAACCTCTCAGGGCTATACTGAAAGCATTCTAAACAAGATTCAACTCTGCAGTTATCCAGTGTGGCAACCAAAGAAACACTAGAAACTCAACCAAGAAGATGGAATAACAACTGGCCATCTGTCAATTATGGATGTACAGAATACCACATCATAATTATGATTCTTACTGCAGTTGTAAGGTAATAAAGAGCTGTATTATCAGTAAATATGCATGTGTATTAAGTATAGGTGTGAGGTATTTTATTTCAGAGGGGCAGATGTGTTAGTCTGTCACAAACGAAGATTCTTATGGCACCAACAAATATGCTTCACAATGTCTGCTGAAATAGAGAGCCAGTTTGTACTGGTTAAGAGCGCAGACTCTAATCTGGGAGAACCA